AACTATTTTGCTAAAGGGATTATTTTTAGACCCACAAAACATCTCTAAATTTTTAGACTTTTTTTTTTTTTTAGTATATATATATATATATATATATATTTAAGTACATATTTACCACTGAAGGTTTAGACTCTGTTGTTAGAAGCATCTGTTAGAATCAACTGATTTTATCTGGAAAAGAGGTTCTCCCCCTTCCACAAAAGACAAATTGATATAATTATGGAACTTTATGAAATTGAAGGAAATATAAACTTGAAGACTTAAAGAAAGTGGGTAGGATATGTGTTTAAATAGCAAAAAACAAAAAAACCTGGCTATAAATCTTAACTAACAAAAGTTGAAATTACAAACTTATTTTCCTCTGGTTAAATTTAAGAGAAGCGTTGATGGCTTGCTTTAACTGTCTCAAATGAGATTTTTATTTTTGTTTTAATAGATGAAATCCTAAACAAGAAATTTCAGAAAATTCAATAACCACAATCTTATAAATTCATCATAAATGAATATATAATTCAGAAATAACTCTGATGTGAAACTGCTCACTCCTTCAAGCAAGATTCCTACATGCTCTGTTGTGTGTGGCCGGGGGAGGATTGTTTTTTTGGTGAAAATACAGCAGCTCAGTTACAGACAGGGCTCTGAGATTATTCTAATTAGGCACAGGCAGTTTGGGACTTAATTCATGGTTGTCTATTATAAAGTTTTGAAAACCAGAAACTCACTGAGAAAGTTAGTTTACTACCTTGAAGTGTGGTGGTAGGTCACTGATTTCTTAACACGGAGTTTTCCAGCAGTTCTTTTTCTCTTGTAATATCTGGCACTTGACTTGATTTCTCTAGCTTTTACAATATCTCCTATGGTGTTTCGGTGATAGCAGTTTGAAAAACTAGATTGCTATATATCAGGAATTTATGAATGTACATAAATCATTATATCATTAAGCAGTTGTCTTTGAAATCCTTTAAATCATTAAACTTTCCCTCTCCTTGATAGCAGAAACATGTTAACAAATAGAGGTCTCTATAAATAACACAGCAGGGAAGAAAGCTCCCGCTGGGCGCCCATTTCCCCCTTCTTAGATAGAGACTATTTGTTACCTTCTTGGCACCGGCAGGTCTGGAACTCCTGCTGCTAAAGACTAATGTATTTTACATTAACACTCAAAGTGATTCCCAATTTCTTCTGCTCAAGGGTGGATTGTTTTTAAAATTCTTTTATCTTTACATGTAAATTATTTATAGACCTCTTTTTTTCCCCATTTCTAGTTTGGTGTGGTTGGCAAATCACTACCACTAAAAACAAGCTCACCGTTTCCCCCACCCCACACCAAAACAATCAACGAATTAGCTTCCTCGAAGCTTTTTCATTTTGCCTGATTTTAAAAGAAAACTTTACGAAACCTGATAAAATTGTTTTGCATTTCTACCTTGTCCGATAGGAAGACTGACAATTATTGATTGTAATTTCACTCCCTATTTTTCTATAATATGATCTCAATTGTATTTTAATTTTTTAAATTTCACATGCTTTGTTTTATTTCTCAAAAAAGTGCTAATGAGACTGAGGGAAACATTTCCGATCTGTGATTGGGGCATGGTTTTTCAAATGTGAAATGTCTTTTTTTCTAGCAGCAGTTAAAAATGTAAACACACTCTTAGTTTCAGAATGTTTCATCGTAAACATTTTGTTGACATTTGCCAATAACAAATAGGCATTTTTCCTGAAAAGAACAGATCTGGAAAATCAAAACAAGTTAGATGCAGTTTTTTATCTACCAGGTCTCATTTGTACGAGATTTGTTCTGTATTTGGTTGTTATTGCATGTTGGGGTTTTTTTGTTGTTGTTGTTGTTTTCTTTTTTAACTATTTGTTTTCATTAATGGTTAAATCAAAAACTTGGCTTCAAAATGGTTTTTTTTTTTCCCTGCCATATCTTTTTCACTGCAGTAACTAACCCTTGCTGTTCTTAAATCGTTTCTGTTCTTGTAGATTCTTGTTCCTTCCAGAAGATGGCAGCACAACCTCTGAAGTTTTTCTTTCTCTGCATAACCTAATGGCTGTAGCCTGGGTGGCCCTCTATTTTCACTTATTTTTCTTCCATAAATAGTATGTATCTATTGAAAAACAGTACTGTACAGAATTTAAAAGTAGGAATATGGCAGCTATCTTCCTTCAATTCCACATCGGCATCACCCTGCTCTCTTCAGCTCTGTGCAAGCACTTAACACCTGGCCTGTGCCTTTCAGACCTTTCTGTATAAACACGCATGCATAGTTCTGTTGTTTCCTAACAGGATCACTCTATGTGCCGTTCTGCCACTTGGTTTTTCTAATTCACTAAAATGCCTTAGTATCCTTTAGTCTTTTCATGGATAGCCCCAGTGCTACTACTTCGGTCTTTTTTAAACCCTGCATAGAGTTATATACCTTGAATATAAGGTATTATATTATAAGGAGAAGGTGGCCATCTCCTTACTAATAGATGAATGTCAGTTGTCTCTAGCTTTTGTGATTATAGCAGTACATATCACAGCAAATACAAAGCCATATTGGGCTTGTTGAAAATATCTGTAAGATGAATTTCTTGAAATTAAAAGAAAACGATTATGTTCTCTTCTGTCGATCGTAACTGGCACATTCCCCTTACAAACATTTTAGAATTCTTGCCTTCTTTCTGCCTCTCATTTTCTGTTCCTACTCCTTAATGCCATTTTGCTTCCATCTTCTGTCACTACTGCCCCTACTTCATTTAAGCTGCAGAACTGAGGGTGAGGCTTAGATCTGGCATAAGGAGACAAGAATGATTAATTATGCCTGGTTTATGCTTTAGGAGAGCTACTTTTCAAAGTCAAATTTATTGAGGTATAATTAACCTACAGTAAAGTTTGGTTTTTTAAAGCATCCAGTTTGAATTTTGGCAAATTTATACAGTCATGTAACCAGTGCCACAATCAAGTAATAGGACCTTTCTGTCGCCCCAGAAGAAGTTTTCTCATGCCTCTTTGTAGCCAGTCATCTACCTGCCAACCCCAGGTCTTCACAACTGCCGATCTAATTTCTAGTGTTACAGTTCTGTCTTCTCTAGAATATCATATAAATGAGATCATACAATATATACCCCTTTGTGTCTTTAGCTTAGCATGATGCTTTTGAGATTCCCCCATGATGCATGCTGTAAGTCGTTGATGATACTTTATTGCTGAGTAGTAGTCCATTTTCTAGATGTACCAGAATTTATCAGTTTACCACTTGATGGATATTTGGATTATTTCTGATTTGGGGCTATTATGAATAAAGCTGCTATAACCATTTGCATATGGATCCTTTTTTTATAGACACATGGTTTCATTTATCTTGCATAAATACCTAGTGGCAGGATTCCTGAGCTCTATGGTGGGCTGTATAGTATTAACATATTTACCTTTTTAAGAAACTGCCAAACTTTCTGTAGTGGCTGCATGATTTTGCATTTCCGCTGGCAACACAGGGTTTTGTTTCACATCTTCACCAGCACCTGGTATTGTTAGTCTTTTTTCATTTTAGCCATTCTAGTATTTGTGCAATGGTTTCTCTTGGGATTTGATTTCTATCTCTCTAATGACACTGACCACCTTTTTCTATGCTTATTTGCCATCTTTGTATCTTTGTTGAGATGTCTTTCCAAATTTCTTGTGCATGTTTGTTGTTGCTGTTATTGTTTTTACTATTATTAAAGTAACCTGTACATTTGGATACACATCATTCATTGGCTACGTCTCAAAATATTTGTTTCTCATTTTGTGGCTTTTTATTTGCTTAGCAGTGTCTTTTGAAGAACAGATTTTCATTTTGATGAAGTCCAGTTTACTTGTTTTTACTTTAATTGTTCATCCTTTTTGTGTCCTATCTAAGAGATCTTTGCCTAATGCAAAGGCACGAATATTTTCCTCTCTGTATTACAGTTGTATAGTTTTAGCTCTCACTTGTTAGATTCACGTTAATTTTCTTGTGTAAGGCGAAGGTGGGTTTTTAAAAATTTTAATGAAAATCATCCAGCACCATTTGTTGAAAAGATTAACCATTTCTCATTGACTGACATTGGCACCTCTGTTAAAATTATTCAACCTTAAATGTGTAAATCTATTTCTGGACATTTTTCTGTTCATCTGTCTCTTCTACCAATATCATGCCACTGTGACTATAAAAGAAGTTGTTAGATTTTTTGTTTTTAAATCATAGTTATAGTTTTTTTGTGGTGGAGTAAGGAGGCCAGAAGAAGCAAAAGGTTGACCAGGCACATCTGTCTGGGCCATTCATTATATCCAGTCCTGTACTACCATTTGGGTGCAAGAAGCCAAGCCAGCAATGACAGGCTATCCTAGACACAACAAGGAAACCAGCCTCTCTGGGTGCCTCTGTGTTCAGTCCGGTCCTCTAGAAGCTAGTTTACTACAGTTTATGATTTAAAATTTGACCCTAAGTCACTGAAAGATTCAGTCATCAAGAAATAATTCTCTTTTTGGACATCATACTCTGTATAGCAGTTAAAAAAAAAAGGGGGGTGAATTAAGGTTCAAAATTAAATTACTAAAAATTATCTAATAAGCATGGCTCATTTATTTTCATAAATTGAAGTTTTTATTATAGTTTGGTTTATTGTAAAAATTATTAGCCAGGCATGGTGGCTCACACTTGTAATCCCAGCGCTTTGGGAGGCCAAGGCGGGAGGGGAGGATGGCTTAAGCCCAGGAGTTTGAGACCAGCCTGGGCAACACGATATGACCCTGCCTCTACCCAAAAAAAAAAAAAAAAAAAAAAAATGCTGGACATGGTTGGTTTCAGCTACTCTGGAGGCTCAGGCAGGAGGAT